ATCCATTCATTTTAATAGCTGGGAACACGTTCATAAAATCCTGATCTATAATAGTGTCACTTTTTATATTTCATTCTCTGAGCTGGATAATCTACTTATGAAGTTTACACTCTTTCTAGACAATATTGTCAGCATAACATTCAAATTGTATTGATGTTCGTAGTTGTTTATTCATTGTTTGTTGTTAGTTGACATATCGAAAACAGAATTATGGTTTTAATAATCATTATAGATACTGGACCACTATGATTCAACATTGACACTATCTATTCGAGAGATATTTAAGCATTAGATTTCTTTTTATGTTGTGTATTTGAACAGTGTTAATAATTCATGCGCGTTTTGGCTGTATAACCCATTTCTCTGATTATTTTATTCTACGATCTTCAATAGCTGTAGTATATCATCGAGTTATTGCGCATAAATGTCATTAGCCCCTGTATATGAATTCAGACAAGATAAAATAAACTAATTTTGTGATACTATGTTGAAACTATTTCCGAAATTCAAATGGGATATTCATTTGATTGTAGGTAGTCAAATCAAGATCTTTTATGGATCACTATACTATCTACGAAGATAAGGGTTATAGTAAATCCCTGAATTCTCAATTGTGTAGTATCTGTTCTCAGAAGTGTAATGTTTAGACAAATTAGTTTGAAAGACGTAATGAACAATCTAAAGTGCAGTAAACATATATAAAGTAATAACTAAGAATGTAAAACAGACGAATGCAATATAATATATAAAAAAAGTATTTTACTAATAATTCTCAAGTTATACCGATTTATTTAGTAAATAAGTTTTCAAATTCACTTTCGTCTACCCTAATCTTCCCGATTACTGCTCATACTCTTATTACCTCTACCACTACGGGATTTGAATCGACCACTGCATCTCTATGCTAATGTGGTGTGGTAACTCGAACTGATTTACGTACGTACGTACGAAGTTCTAGGTTGTTACTGACTGACTGATTGAATCACTTACTTCTCCTAAACCTATTGTTGTTAAGATCATATCATCTTCATCTTTCCAAGTAAGCTCATTGTTTTGTGCTCTAATAGTTTAAAATTATTGAGTTCACATTTTAATGCACATATGTAGTACTTAATATTTCTAACTTTATGTTCCAAATTAAATAACAAGATGTAGTAACTGTAACCTAATATTCTTTGTTTATGAATATTTCTTGTTGTCTTTATTTGGTTACATTTTATTACACTTCCCTGTCTTTGATGATTCAATGAACAATCAAGAATATACATATGATTCGATTTGTTAACTGGTTATTTTTTTTTAATGATAGAGATACATTGATAAGTTATCGATTATTTTCTTAGAAATGTAATTTTTCCTTTTTTATTTTTCCTTCAATAGTTTCTTATCAAAGAAATTACTAATCTTCGTGAATTAAGTCAACGTAAAATGGAATTTGTTGATGAAGCTGATAGATATAATCAAGAATTGGATAATAATAATCGTCAATTAATGCGTAAAATTTCTGAAGATCAACAAAAGATTCGACGGTTAGTAATGAATAATGATGTATAAAGTATATCTTTATAGTCTAAACAGTATACAAAATATATTATGTAAGAAAGTTGTTTCTGAGGTTGTAACCATTAGATTAAAATTTAGATTCTTGATCATGATCAATGCTATGACACAAATGTAAACCAATGCAAGATGTCTGATATGGTCAATTTTGTTAGGAGATGTGTAATTTATAGATCAAATAATGATAAGTTCACCGTATCATAATTTAATCAGTTAATTAATGAAATTATTAGAATGAATTTGTAGAAAAATAGCAATTCATGAGTTAAAAGACATTTCATATTTCAAAAGAACTGGATCATGTAGATAAATCAGATAAACTTATGAAACGAATTTAGAAAATCACTGTTTCTTTGGATCAATGGGTATTCAATTCAAAGTTAAGAACCCGTTATACAGACGAATTAATGCATGATCATTTATTTATTATTTATTTATTTGAACACATAAATATTGGTACAAGAGAGCACCGGGTGCCCAAACCGAAACAGGTGGTTTTCTTAGGGGGCCACACCCCGAGCCTTCGACTTGAGGGTCTGATCCACAAGGCAGTGAAGCATCGTAAGGAGATGCAGTCCCATGGAAGCCAGTGACCAACAATTGGTTCATACGCCATTTGTTCCCGCAGGATACTGGAGCCCATGTGCACCATTGATTTGGAATCCGGTTAAAGCGCCGGACATTCGCTTTTCGTCCTCTCATTTTCGTAAACAACACCCCCGCCACGAGAAGGCAATGAGTAGGACTTCCCTGGCAGAGGCTGTATACGCGCGGTCGTGTGAGAGTATTTCGAGAGGGAGAGCGGACTCTCCCCACTCTCGGCCGTACCAGGGCGTTCGGGGGCATGATCATAGGTTTACCGGTTAGATCTATTCTACCCGACATGTAAATGACCAATATTTAATAAACGAAACTGAGACGTCAAATAGGGGACATAACATTATACAGAATATGTATGGATGATGTATTTATTGTTTGTAACAATTTGTACATACTTCTTGATTCCTTTGCCAACTCAGCAAAACACATGGAAACATCAAATTTACGATGTAATTTGAACCTAACGATCAATCCAACTATCTAAATCTAAACACAAAACGAAGAATGTCCTAAATGTTAATTGTTAATAAAAATCCGTTTTCACCTCTTTTGAATTTAAAAAAGGATGAAGTTTCAGGTAGAGTTGGTAAAAATTTTTAAAGTGGTCCTAAAAAGAACCTATTCTACAGCACAACTGTTTTTTTAGAATATAGAAGTAAATCTTCGTTAACCCAAACAAAGGTGGATCAATGCCTTTCTGTGGTAACTTTTTAAAGTATTCATGAATAAACAGACGTTTGTGTTGGGGAGTACACAAAAGAGGCTAAAATAAGAAGTTTGGATAAAGTTTTTCATTCGAACAATCAAGTGATCGCATAATTGCTTGAACAGTTAAGATTGTGCAATCAGGTTACACGCCCGATCTCCATTCTAATCAATATGAATTCAATAGTCATGATTCTGCCCTCTTAGCAGTAGACAATTATATCCGGTGTATCGTTTTATCTTAGTCTAGAATAAAATTTTATTCCTTTTGAAGTAAATTTGATATGCTTTAAATATTCAATTTGTGTGCGACATTCAAGATTTTCAGATAATTCTTTGTTCATTTGATGGATGAACACTGCATAAAGTGGGGTAATTTTCAATGGAGATTTCTTTTTAAACATTGAAAGTTATCTCCAACTATCTGTTACTAATACATCACTTTTGTACACCCACATAATTTGAATGGAAATGACAAATATAATGAAATATAGGGCTTGAAATGAAATCCTCCGTGGAAATTACACTTTTTATTCATTCAATGAATGGGAATTTTTACTGGTTGAAATTATGAGTCAATTGAAGCTAGACCTCTATGGAAAACCTGGAGGCACTGGACAGTCGTTTCGTCCTAGTATAGGGCTCCTCATCAGTGCGCATCCACGATCCCGCCCCCCCGCGAGATTCGAACCCAGGACCTATCAGTCTCGCGCCAGTCGCTTAACCAACTAAACCACTGAGCCGGCATCCAACGGTGTTAATGTCTAACTTCAACCAATCCAAATTACTCACGGTTATTGAACATTGAAAATGTGATAAATAAATGCAAACTTTCATTTGCGGAATTTTCTAAAAAAAATTTTGTACCCAATTTCAAACTGTGACAATAGGGGAGTAAATGCACTTTTGCTCTCTGTATTGATCGAGTTTATTTTTATTATGTTTTAGGATAATTTTACAAAAAATCATTATCAGATATATTATTATTCTTATTGTTATTATTATTATTATTAATGCGAAAGTGTGATCCATTAATTACAATTTTACAGAAAAATAATGGTTTGTAATTAAGATTGCAATTTTGTAAAACATTGATATGGCACTTGTTATAACTGCGAAAACAACTATAGTTAAGTAATCGATAAATTAGTTCATTTACCGGCTGTTTAACTGTATTTTTGGTAACATGTGCTTAGTTTGGGTGTAGTATATGTGAATTTATACACAATAAATGGTAATTTATATATTGGATTCATCATTTAACTATCTGTAACTTGTTCATTTGTATTGGTTGTTTGAAACTTATCGTCAATGTTAGGATGAACTTCTATTGATCAGTCTCTTTTGGTATATGTACATTCTATGAGGGTTGTCTTTACATTATATTTAAATTCCAAACATTTCAATACTATCCATTATCTAGTTTTGCTTAAGTTCTTGTGTCCTGACGCCAATACTTAGGCACTCCTTTCAGGATCCACACATGCTAGAAGGGGATTGATCAATTGTAGTTCATACCATCACCGATAAGATTTAAGCAACCAATGAAAAAGAATTAGTATTCACCCCACTGTACAAGCTAGTGACTATCTGAATTTAGTAGCTAAGGAGACAACGCGGTGGACTTTTGAAACGAACGGTAGTGGGTTCAAACATTCGTGTGAGCACGAAGGCGGATGCATGTACATTCAACTGATGTGTTCAAAGCAGAGCGAAACACGCATTCGGGATTCCACTGCAAGACACCATTCTACTCCATTTGAAGGTATAAATTGGTTTTTACTAACTATATTAATAATAACGATTATTAGTATGATTAGAAATACTATTAGAGGTTTTCCTGGTTGCTAATAATCATGAATGAATTTCATGAGCTTTCATTAACACTCCTTAAGCAAATACCACCATATTTTATGCAGTTGCATCTCTGTTACATTTTTGAATCGAGGTCAGCAAAGAAATCTATGATGGGTATATCGTTTTATTTTAAGCTTATCACTTATTTGTACCTGGATTACAGTGTTGATATTCACTTTGAGACTGAAACCTAGTGTTGTGAACACTACTCACAAGGATGTTTGTAAGTTGTGTGTAGCGGAACGTGGTGTCAAAGTTTCAACAATTATCGGATAGAGTGAAGAGTTTCAGTGCATCGAAAGTACTGTGTTGACAGAACACTGGGAGATGCAAATGGAAGACTGGAGACTATATATATACCTTCTACCTATTATAGTGTTTTACACTAGTACCATTTATTGTTCCAAACACCAATATATACTATCAGTGTATATTGACTGTTTAAAATAAATAACAATTCAATGAGTCATTGATATTCTGATCAAGTAATTAATCGATCATAGATAAAGATTAATATACAACACTGGTTTTTTTCTCACTCGTCTATGACATATAGTCACATCTTTAAGTAGTGTAATCTTGTCAATTAGTTATATCTGTTCGCTATAGACTTTGTGAGTATGTGTACGTATTGGGGAGATCCAAGACAAGAAAGACTCTGGAAACACTGAGAAGCATCTTATCCAGTCAGTCTTCATTAGAGGATTTGTCAGAGACATCTAGAAAATGAAAAGTTACATGTCGAGTTGCTGATTGGATGGTTACTTATACTGCTACTATGCTTTTAATAGTATTCCAAAATTTTCCGGAAACCCAAGGACATCTAAAATACTATGAAAACCCTAGATTTTCTGTGCATTAAGAAACCTTTGGAGTAAAATGTTTCTTCCATATCTCGCGCCATTTTCTCTCGTTTTCAAGTTGCTGTGTAAATCTGTCCTGGGGGTTAGGAACCGAATCGAGCGTTCAATTAGAAGACTTATTAGTACATACAGTAAGTTCGTAATTAGTGTCAAGTACTATTCAGTTTACTACACACATAAATAACTGTTGATTAGTGTAATTTATGCATTAAATCAAATGCATCCAGATGTCAGTTTGATTTATTTTTTATGGATCAAATCAGTCCATATTTAATTCATTTCAAATTTTCTTTTTATTATGTTGTTTATTTTTTATTTTCTAAATTAGATTATCAAATACAATAGCCATGTTAGAAGAACAAATTGCTGGATTAATGGAACGATTAAAAAAATATGATAATCAATCAATGATGAAAGGAACAGAAATAATCCAATCAAATTTTTCTTCTTCCACTTCATCTCCAACTTCTACACCTTTATCGAATTATCGACGACATTTATTACAAAAAAGCTCACCGACCTCTTCTCCATCAACAATTATACCACCAACCAAGAAAATAAATACAACTCTTAGGCCTATTCATACTGGCAATAATAATAATAATAATAATAATAATAATAATAATAATAATGTTGACGCATTATCTTTAAAAAATATACATAGATCAACCATTTACAGTAAAAATTATGGCGGATATTTTAAAGAGAAAATAAAATTGAAACCAATATACAATTATAATAATAACAACAGAAGTAACACTAATCAATATAGTAGTATTTCATTTCCAGGTTATCGTGAAAAAGGTGGTTTATTCTTTATTGATGATGAATTATTCGATCAACCAGATATTGGTGTTACTTCTAGTAATAATAATAGTAGTATTCTTGGTGCTGATAATCAACAGAAATTATTACGAACAAATTCTAAATCCTCTTCCATTTCACAATTAACATCTGAAAAATTTTCATATACACAATTATCATCATCTAATTTATATTATAAAATGCCATGGATGTTGATGATCAATTCAAAGATGACAAATCAACAAAAATGTACACTATTAACTGATCATGATGATAATAATGATACATTGAATATATCTTCAATGTTACATCGTACATTTAGTTGGCCTTATTTAAATAAAATGTTATTTAATTGTAATGATCATACTGATTTATTTTATAATTTGGCAAATTATAATCATTCTTCACAATATACCATAAATCCTAATATGAATGATCATTTAATAAATGGGAAAGATAATCATGGTAAATATTTTATTTTTGGTAAATTTTATATTATTACCTCAGTTTATTATATTTTGTACTATTTTCAAAAACAATATTGTTGACAAATTTATTGTTTTAAATAATTTCTGTCGGTTTTCTTTATTAGGAATGTATACCAGATATTCAGTAGAATAGTAATATATGATTTTATATCAGAAGGGATTTTTGTGGATATTATAGTAATTTCAATAGTTGAGATCATGAATCAATTGAAGCTAGAGACCACTATGGAAAACCTGGAAGCACTTGAAGGCCGTTTCGTCCTACAGTGCGACTCCTCCTTGGCAGTGCGCATCCACGATCCCGCCTCTCGATATCTGAACTCAGGACCTATTAGTCTTGCGCGCGAGCGCTTAACCATTAGACCACTGAGCTAGCATCCAATGGTGTTAATGTCTAAATTCAAATAATCCACGAAATTGAGCGACACGTCCACTATTGTCTTTAGTGAGTTACTATCTCACAACAGACCTTGTTGAACTCCACTGGTTACTACTTCTCACTACAACTCCAGGATATACCTTTGTTCTGTATTTTTACAAATAGCCGTATTTTAAATAAATGATAGATAGATAGTTATAAACAATTGATAGGCCGTCAGAATCTAGTCATGTCACATGCTTGTGCATAAAACAGACACCTCATGTGCAGTCTCACTGTTAAACGTCAATTATGATATCTTAAACAAGACACACTATCACAGGGATTCAACCACTCACTTAATCAACGTCACACGAGACGTTTCTTTGTCTAGCTTCGCGAAGAGAAATGTGAAATACAATACATTATCGTTATTTCTTTTTCTAACTATAGCTTCCTGAACACTCCTAGTCTTTTGACTTTCATTAGTAGTCTTAAAAATATGCAAATCCTTTTGCATTTTCATTGAATCAAACGTCGTGGGCTGTAACAATCAATTGTGACCTGATATATGTTCATGGAGTTTTGTTCTCTGAGCTCGGAGAACAAAACTTCATCAAAATCATCCACCTGAGCCACAAATCTCCACCAGCTGATGTATGTGTGCACTTCATTATTTTCTTACTATGCGTATGACTACTTTTAGAGGAAGCTAACAAAGAAACAATAATTGTAAATTGAAGGTATGAAACGAAATAAAAGAACAAAGAAGTCACAAAATAATACGTTTCAGACGATAATAGAAATAAGGATTAAATACATCCCAGCTTGGTTGTAAACTCTTGCGAAAAATCCTGTGACCACATTTTTTTTTCTTATCCACCTGCATCCCAAATAGTGTTGAATATTAAAGTTGTGGATGCTTAACATATATCTGAACCACTTTAATCAATAAGAGTACACAACTTATTCCTTGCCCTAATAATCTTTATTTAATATTTTAAGTCTAACTTATGTATTTCTCTCATCCAGTTGTTCCAGCATACCTAAGCAGTGCTTCGACAATAGTTTTTGTCTAGTGTTTCCAATATACTCCTATGTTTGCTATATTTTCAAAAGATATGTTTCAAATAGACGAGTACTATAGAGGAAATACTCGGTTTTGTTAAAACTGACAACTGATTTACCACAGATGACTTGTGTCAATAGAAATCAGCATAGTCGAGTATTTATCAGCCGCCATCTCAAAAGGACTAGTGAGATTTCTGAGGTCACTGGATTAACTGACACTGTCTCTCTGTAGAAAAAACTCAGGATTAATGTAGATTAATCCAAAACCGATATTCTGAATTTGAGAAAATCCGAAATTCGTTTAAAACATTGTCACACTGTCCATCAAAATGATCAGAAGTCCCAACATAACTAATTCATATGAATGTTTGTCATGTCTCCCCGTAATGTAGAGCCCTTCATTATGGTAGTTGACATCATTTATTGGGGTTCTCATCACGAACTGAAATCAGGCAAAATTGCAAATTGCTATTTAGCCATACGGAAGAATGGATTTTGCGTCAACATATAAGACTTAGTTTTTTAAATCTATCGCGTTTGTCCACGAGTTATAGTCTCTCCGAGATGAGCACAGGTTAGATATGGATATTACTATTATATGTACCGATGATTTTAACTTATACGTGTTTACCGGCCTGGTAGTTAATTAGTTTATCTTTAATCAATTAGAAAAATCCTTTAACACGTGCTGAAAGAATATAATTTTAACTACAAATTCTTTATTAACATATGACTACCGGCTAGCTTCAGTCATTCATTTTACCTGCTAACATTGACTTCGTACTATAGTCTTCAACTTCCTAATGAAACTTAATCATCATTCATAAGTTTAACGTAGCAAAAAAAACAATCATATTTTAGGGTTGAATCTGTCATAATGTGAAGTCATTTGACAATCCTTATAGATTCTCTATTCTTCGACAAAATAGTTTTTTAAACTGTTAATTCTAATATGCTTTAATTATGTATAACATTTTTTTCCCCTTAAACTATTTGTTTTCTTATATAAATAATATCAGTAGGTATACAAGTATGTTTTCTTTACCTCCATTCAGTTTTTAAAGTACAATTTATTGTATATATGTAATCCTTATCATATATTACAATTGTTTTCATCAAACATGAATTGTAAAGATTGTGTGCAAAACACACAATAATAGTTTCACATTGATTTTTTTGTTACTACCATTTGTTATAGTGAACTAAACAAATTATCAATATTTAGAAGCATGATTATTAGACACTAGAATGTCGTATGTTTATTAGTACTTGTGTCAAAGTTTTTTTTTGACAACTGATATGTTTCTTCTTATAAAATATTTTCGTTTAATGTAAATGCAACTCTTGATATTAGCGCTTTGATCTACATTATTCAACAATAACGTGAAAGATGATATTTTATTTTCAACAAGAAGATCGTATGACATGAGCATTGATACGAACCTAGAAATGCAGTTTGTTTTAAGTTGCATTCAAAAATCAATTTGTTTTAAATCCTACCAATATGTCAATACGAATAAAGAACCTAATTGACCAATTATCATATAAAACCTCAGTTGTCATAATCTTTATATATAATAAGTGCTTTTCAGAGATAACACAACTTTACTTCGTTGTTTGACTGTAATGAATATAAAACCCAGAGTAATGTTGAGATATTCACCCCAAATAATAGGGTTTGGAAGGTTTTGACAATTCCTCTCATAAACTGGTAATCTATAAATAATACAAAACATACTGAATATCACTAGGTGTTAGTATTTAGGTAGCCTTATGCAGTCACCATGCGCTCACTAGTGACTAGTTTCGAGAGGACATTTCCTGAGTCCTGTTGACAAGCGGTGACCGAATGGACTTAAATCCGTATCGAGTGTGAGGCAACCCAACGAAGGCAACGTAAGATGGTCGCTCATTGTCGTGGATTTATTGAAGTTAGACATTGACATCGTTGGATACCGTCTGAGGGGTCTGGAGGTGAAGCATCCGCGCATGTTACCCAAGTTCCTTTGTCCGATTCTTGTGTTTGTGGCCGTGGATGCGAACATCTGAGGAGTCCCGTTGATTGTTTGCAGGTTTTCAATGATGGTCTAACTTAGATAAGTTAATGGTTTCAGTCAGATCCAGGAATTTCCAAGATCGCATACCAACCTTATACCAGGACTGGGGGTGCTTAACACAACAATTAAAACTATCCTAGTTACGTACATTGATCGAATGTCATATGAGGAGTATAGTCACTTTCCAGCTTTCCAATGCCAATAAGATTTCCAAACTAAATTCACTACATTAAAATTACTTTCGAACCCAATAAGTACTGCTTACATAACAATATACAATACAATAATATTGCTTTCATGGATAATATAGTTTAAACTATTCTATACAAACTGATTTTTGAGAATAAGTGTTGTGTAATATTTTGTTTTGTTTTACATTACAGATACTTCAATTAGTAACGATTATCATTGTGAAGCACTTTCTAATGGAATTCAAGTTAACCCATCATCAGAAAATATGGGATTATCAAATTCTTTACTCATTACAGAATCTGAAGTTAATCGGGTGGGGTGTTTTACTAAATTTTGTTTTATTTCTTTTCCTTTAAATACATAATCCATTTTCCAGTTAGTTAGCTACAACGTAGGACCAAGCACATATATGCATCGGCCCAAGTTGCCACACCCCGTTAGCACAATAGAATGAAAACCAAACTCATAGAAGTAATTACTTCAGTGGTAGTAATATATAAAAGTCTAAAGTGATAGCTTACTAGTTGTAACACTCGGCTTTCAATCCTTGAGTCGTAGTTTATGTCATTACTTCATGTATTTAGGAGACTTGATCGCCTCGGTGGCTGAGGTATAGCGTTGGGTTTAAAAATATGTCAGACTCTCATAGGCTGGGTTTACGTAGATGGTCGATCAAGTGCTATCCGATTTTATGAAACAGTAATAACTTTTAAGATTAGTGACATGTGCCTTTGACCCCTCTTAGTCTTTGTCTACTACAATTCGGATGAAGCAAAAGGTGAATTTTATCGGAAGCTTTTTCACCTGTGGTCTTAGTAAGATGCAGCAATATGGAAGAATCCCCCGGCCTCCCACATTGTACGAGCATTCCATGTACCTAAATTAATGGTTGCTCTGGTTGTCAGAAGGGGCATTAGCATCGTAACTTTCGAAGGAACTCGGCTTTCATCATGAGGCGTCATAACTCTTCTAAATGAAGACCTTTTAACCCATAGGGCAGAGTTCAAATGGTTTGACTTATTTTTTCTGGTTAGCGTCTTTTTAGCAAGTTTTTTTTCTACGGGATGGGGTCGCTGACCTCATGCCCAACCCTCCTCCTTTATCTGGGCCTGGGGCCCAGAGAGGGTTCCATGCGGAGTTGCCCGTCTGTTAATGAAGATACGAGTAAACAGTTCGCTCTCTCTTACTTTAAGGGTGTGAAACGCAGTTTATGCAATTAGAAGACGTTCTCAGCTTACTGTCATTTGACTTAAGATGTCATGAAGCAATGCTGGTTTATATTGGGATAATCGAATGGTCAATGCTGACATCAGATGCATGGCACTAAGAAAAGATAGCAAATTAGTTGATGATACAGTGAGCCTTTATCGACCGAGTTGACTGAAACATTTGTTCAGTATACCAAACCACTGAATAATTGGGCGTGTAATTTTGGTTTCAATAAATTAAGGTAAGGTGGATCAAACATGATATGGTATCAGTTCATGAAGTCACTAAATGTTGATTTGAGCCATTTTAGTGGGCATAGATTATTTAGTTAGGAGTCCCATAGTAATCACGACCAACATTTTTTTTCGAACGTTTTCAAACCTCAAAGTTTCTCATGACTGTTGAAATAACCAATGTCAAAATGTCCTATAAATTTCGGGTTCGATGCAAATAATTGCAACAACTTAATAAACTTGTGACATGTGCCGATCTGGAATCTATAGTCTTATTGCTATACAACATTCAACTCTGCTTATAATCATAATGATCAGCAAGTATCATAAGTTAAACTAATTTCAAACTGTAATCGTTAAAATCTGATTTAGTAAAGGACAGTAAATATGAAAGTTGCTGTACTAAAGCTTTCTATTCTAACTTATTTCTCCGATTGATATTACTTCTTTAGTAATATATATCATCATCAAAGTTTAATGTGACTCAGAAAGTCATTAGTCAATGGCAAACTACCTTCTTTTACTAACTCTCTCTCTCTTTCTCAAATATTTCAGCCTAGCAGTCGGTCGTCTACACCATCTCCATTACAACACAATCATCAACATGTACTGACTAGTGATCTTAACAATAATAATAATAATAATAATAATAATAATAATAATAATAATAATAATAATAATGAATCAAATAAAAAAGAAAATTCTTTTATCACTGAATTGATTGAAAATAATTTAACAGAAACAAAAACAACTTTACCCAATGATAAATTGAAACCAAGAATATCTGATCAAATTAATGATTTATTAGATGATATTAATTTTGTTAGTTATTTAGATCGTATTTATAATCCATATATACGTTCACAATATCATGATTTAATTCATTTAGATTATAAACCAGCTTATAGGCAATTATTTCATGAAACATTTAATTTATTAAAAAATGTACGTAACATAGATAATCAGATTAAATAATTAATTTAAACACTTCATATATATATATTACTTAAGTACTTACGCCTGTTACTCCTAATGGAGCATAGACCGCCGACCAGCATTCTCCAACTCACTCTGTCCTGGGCCTTCTTTTCTAATTCCATCCAATTCTTGTTCATTTTTCTCATGTCTATCTCCATTTTTCAGTGTAATGTGTTATATGGTCTTCCTCTTTTCCTTTGGCCTTGAGGATTCCATGTGAGGGCATATATATATACATTACTAATCATATTTTTCATTATTTCGTTCATTCGTTTTTCGAAGTTTTTTTCTCTTTTTTTTTCGTTTTTTGTTTTGCTTTCGGTTTTTCTACAGTTCTCATTATTATTATTATTATTATTATTATTATTATTATTATTATTATTATTATTATTATTATTATTATGTTCATGTTGTATTTCTATACTTGAAACTCTTGGTAATAAATTTGTTGTAATGAATTTGTTTTTATTAATTATTCATTCATTTATTCATTCTAATACACCAGTATTATATCATAAAGTTGAATTGGAATATTCTCTTCTATGTGTAATAGATAAGGATAACAAGATTTATTCATATACTAATTCTTAATGTGTTATTGTATAGATGATCATGTTGTAGTGAACACTTACACCAGTGGGGACAATTGAATGTATTTAACACAAAATTACAGAACTTGTTTATAAAATCTAACAATCAAATAGTAAATGCTTAATATGCAAAATGTCCATCAATTGTCTCAATAACGACTCAGATTTCATTATTCTTGCATTTTCATACAAATTGAATCCTGTTTCCATTTTTTACTGTTTGATCCTCTTGTCTCTTTGCTGCCAAACCTTCTGTTCACGACTAACATCATATACTACTTATGTCAATATAAGTAGCACACACCACAATGTCATATACATAACACATACATATAAGTTGATATTCTCTTCATTTATATTCCATTTACATGGTTTATATGATACATAAATAACTTTACTATTCTTGTTATATATCTTATTTGTATAATATTGTGTTTAGTTTTAAAACATGATAAATATTCCTTTCATCTCTTCTCTTTCTGCTTATTCCTTAAATCAAGTAAAGAAATACAATATTCATTGTTATCTTATTATCAGCATTGATTTGTTGTTTTTGTTTTTGTTCATATTTATTTCTCTGTTATTTTTCTCTTTTTTTTGTATTATTCTTAAAAGAATTTTTAAAAAAAACCCAACTATATAAAAATTTATAACCGTCTTCTATTTTAATAGTTGAGATTATGAGTCAATTGAAACTAGATCACCATGAAAAACCTGGAAGCATTAGACAGCCGTTTCGTCCATTTATTCGTTTGATTTTAGTGAATAAATGAATGTACAAAAATGGTTGAAACACAGATATTAAAAGTAAAGTATCTATTTTTATTGATTATCCAGATGATCGTAAACAGAAATTATTTCCATAGATAACATCCATTAACAGATTGATTTTGTCTGAAGTACGATTACAGGTTAAGACATTTTATAATAGTGAAACATGGCCGGCAAGAGTAAAGGATATTCGTAGGTTACCAGTATTCGATCATAGGTGTCTTCGAAGCATTGCTTGTACATCTTGGGACCACCGTGTAAGTAATGCAGTTGTTGTGAAGTGTCTACTAGGTAAGGATGACAAACCGATTGATGAAGTAGTGAAACTTCATCAGTTGAGATGACTGGGGCACGTGTTACGTATGCTCAACCACCGACTTCTCCGACATGCTATGTTTTATGGTGTAGGAGTAGGTTAGAAGAAAGCTATGGGTGGCCCGACCAAAACATGGCACAAATCGATGAAGTCAATTACAAGTGGACTGAGTCAGGCGTAGACTACCTGGTTGAGATCTGCGAGACGATAGCAACCGATGGTTAGAGACATTGAATGACATGTCTCAAATTCGTTTGCAATGGTGCAGATGCATCAACTCTTTGTGTCCTCCCAAATTCTAATCTTCTGAATTCTTCATGTCCCTTTTTTTCTCTTTCCAAATTTATTTCACTGGATTATGCTCCTTGAATAACATCTTCAAACTGTCATAACTTGTGAATCTGTGTGCGCTGTATATTGGATAACGCAACGATTCCGCCAATCAGAGAGCAGCAAAATTACCGATCGAACCAGTGACGCATAAAACACGTGCGAGCAGCCTGAAGTCCTGATTGGTCTCGCTTCCTGTCTATCCCAGCCAGTTAAATCCAGAACACCAACCTCAGCCTCTGCTATATGAATCATTTATTTAAAACATATGGCGTTTATATACTAATCAAACCGACCCCAACGTACCGTAAAACAAAAAGTAACATTTGTACAATATTTGGCCAAAAGTGGCTGTGAATGAGAGAGATAGTAATTAATAGACAGGTTATAACTCAAGAATGGTAAATCGTATAGTAATAGTCTATGGGTCAAATTAAAGCTTATAATAATAGCTACATGAATATGAACAGTTAATTTGCATAATAGTTATACGATAAAAATATACTCATAGTATTTTTCCATAAATGGATTACCATTCGTTATTGTTATCGGGATATAACACAAACCCTAGTCTTTCCGATCACTGCTTATACTTTTACTACCTCTACCACTACGGGATTTGAATCGATAATTGTATTTGTGTGCTAATGTGGTATGGCAACTTGAACTGATGTACGTACGTACGAGGTTCTACGTTGTTACTGACTGATTGTTTCTGTCATACTCTATATGACAAGTACAATTTACAAAATAAATTAATTTTCATTAAATTCCTTTAAATAAATTATAATAATAGGCTCTATTAACTCATTTTAAAATGTTCTAGCTTGGATTTGTGACTCGTACAACTCAAACATATTGAGATTGAAGAACATGCTTCTGACAACAATTAATTATGATCTCCCTAGATATCAAATTGATTGATTTTGAGATTGTAGTACTGGAAATCAGTTATGTGACACAAATTTCATTGGTACAAAAGCCAAGGTTGGACGTCAAAGTTTCAAATAAATCGGACATTTATTTACTTACTTAATTATATACACCAATTATCCCACGTGTAGCAGCACAGGTCGTTCACCAGCATTCTCCATCAAACTCTTTCCTGGGCAGTCCTTTCCAGTTATCCCTAGTTGCTATTCATCCGTTTTGTGTTTGCTTCCAATAATCGGAGCAGTGTGTCACTTGGTCTTCCTCCTTTCCACTTTCCCTCAAGATTTCAAGTTAGCGTTTGCTTCGTGATGCACCCTCAAACAATAAATAAATAGATGCTTCATGATGCAGTTTGATGATTTCGGTAATGTATGTCTTATCCACTTCCAACGTCCTTTCCTAATTTCCTCTTAAGCTGGAAGCTGGTTTGATCTCTCCCACAGTAGGCTGTTTCTGATGATATCCAGCCAACAGACACTGAATATTTTTCGTATGAAATTGTTTAGAAGTATTTGTACTTTTTTATTGTGGTTGTGGTGGTTCTCTAAGTTTCAGCAACGTACGAAAGAATTGTCTTGACGTTCGTATTGAAGATTCTGATTTTCATATTGGTTAACAAATGTTTTGAGTTCTATATGCTATTCAGCTGTAGGAACTTTGCCTTTGCTTTGCCAATCCTTGCATTTACATCTGCATCGGATCCTCCTTGTTAGTCGATGATTCTACTTAGGTACGTGAGTTTCCACTTCTTCCATAGTGCCTCCATCAAGTATGATTGGGTTGGCGCTTGTTTTGTTGTATTTCAGGACCTTGCTTTCACCCGTGTGCCTGTTGAGGCTTACTGTCGAAGAGACTACTGCTACAGTGGGTTTCTCCACCTGCATTTGTTGCTATGTATGGGAGAGGAGAGCTTTTCGTGCCTTATGGTAACCCTCGTGCTATTGATAGAAGAAACCAGACAAGTAGTTAATAGATCTTTATTTCGATCTCAGCGCAGTCACAGTGGAGCGTGGGATTATTTGTTCAGACAAACAAAGCCTCTCAACGTTCAATATAAGATAACAGGAAATATAACGCCTATGCAAAATAAGGAAGTGAATGAATACATGAACAATACTGTTTTGGCATATGCTTGGTTGTTTGGGGTCAACTCCTAACCAACCAACCTAAGATGTTACATTAACTTCCCCTAGAATCGACTTTCGTAGGAACGTCGGTTCGATTAACCTAAAAAAGCTACAGGTGGAGTTGAGCGTCAGGCCGAAAGTTATTAATAAATCTCTAGTTAAGTTGTAACGAGTGGGGAAATTACATTTCTGACGTATCGTGACTTAATGTAAGTCACTTCTTTCTGTTGGGGACGAAAGATCCCCAGAACTCATATTTTTTATTTTATCTTGCCGATTAAATATTTGAATGCCTGTCGATTGATGAACTTATCGATGAAATGATTAAATAGCAGTCGATTGACGAACTTATCGATTAAATATTTGAATGCCTGTCGATTGATGAACTTATTGATTAATGTTTAAAAACATTTTACCATTACAATATCGATTGTAAATATTTGTATAAATTCGCTTGACTTGTGTGCTTGACTTGACTTGGTATCTGCCGTTTGTCTGTAGAATACACTTCCTACGCCCTACAAAGACTTCTTGACCGCATTAGCTGAGTCGGGGACAACGGACCAAAATAGTCTATCGAGATTCCAAATCCCTTGATCCGATCGATAAGTCACTGTCCTATAATCATTGGTCCTTTGAGATATAACACTTTCTTTGTACTACTTAGAATTTCGTTAGATTTTTTCGGTTATGTATTTACTCCGAATAAGTCTGTTACATTAAGTTACGTGGCGTCAGAGACACAATTTTTCTACTCGTTCGCTTATATCAAAAAATATATTTAATATCAATAAAAAAGATTTCTGTGACACTAGAAGGTCCTAGACTTGGACTTTGGTGGGTTGGGTGGTGTATACTACTATGGAGTCCAGTACCAAAATGAAACGGCTATTTATTATT